AGAATATCATGGAACAGGACTTTTCCAAGTACTCCTGGGGGAAAAATAACAGTCCCAAGCACAAAATCAAACCAACTGCTACAATATATCATTGAGACTAGGCAAGAGATCTGACTTCTACCTCATTCCAAAGAAGTTGGCTAAAGAGGATGGGAGTCCAACTTGTTTGAAGGGCACCCCACTAAGAAAAGCCAGAACCCATTGAAATAGACTTGACTAGTCTACATGAATCAATGGTTTGGACTGAAGTAATGTTCTGTGTTCGTATTATAATACAGAAGGAAATGCTGGCTCTCAAAGCTTGTAGGCACGGTGGATTCAAATATCCCTCAGTGATGCCTAATTAACTGAGTATATATATCTCACTTCACAATGAACAGCAAAGCTGAATGTATTAGGAACATCTAACCCCAACCAGCCACCCCCACACTTCCTCCTGAAGCATCAATGCAGGGAATGTTACCATTGATTTCCACTGGAACCGTCACCAGCTGAAAGCTTCTGAATGAAAGGACTGAGCCAAAGACAAAGAAGATGGGTTGCTTGCCTTGCTGTTCATGATGTACTGAATTCATGTGTTTGTTTATTAGTCTTAGGGCCTGACCAGTGAGGTTCTACCCACATGGGTAGCTCTTACTCAGGAAGGTAAGTAATTCTAACAATGACAGCTGTGGTCCTTTTAAGCGCCAACATCAAACAATAATCACCACCACAGACCAGTTGTATGCATATGTATTTAGGGTTTAAGAGATTTATTTCCTCCTCTGTTTCCTTATCAATAACTTATTTTAAAGAACATTCCATTACAAATCAGTGGGACTTATGCCTATACATCATAATACAGTGATGTGCAAATAAGCTGAACAGGCCACGCTGATGAAAGAGACAATGTTTCCTCTTCTCAGCAACTAAACACTCATGCATAAAATATCAAGATGCTCTTAACTTAAATACATCACAGTAAGTGCTAATCATGACTTTTGTCAGCAAGTGTTGCAAAAGGGTTGGCAGCCAACATTGCAGCCTAAAAGTGCTTTCTAAATATATGAACTCTCAATTTAAAATGTTTAAATATATTTCCTGTGATATTTTTAGTTTTCCATAAAGGCTGAAGTGGGTGGAAAAGGGCATGGGATTCGTGCATGACGGGCTGGAAAAGCAGCTTGTGTCTCAAACAGCATCATCATTACTTGGTCTAAAATAGTATTACATAACTGAATCTCTTGAAATGAAAGGATGGAAAAGGTTGCATTCTTTGGGCCCTTGGACCTTTGTCAATCCCAGTGCAACACTTGGGACCAGAAAAGTTATACACGCCTGATTTTGGGGTTGGGAAACTTCTGTTTTAAACAAATAAAAAAATATAATAAGCAAAATGAGCTAGCATGATCTGCATACGGTTGGCAGAGCTGCAAGTACTCTGTGCTAGGGATGAGCAACTTGTGGCCCTCCAAATGTTTTGGCCCATAATTCTCAAATAGCTCACCACTGCTGGACACACACTAAAATATTGCAACTTTTATTATATCCCTGCCTTTCAAATTAATGTATTTAAACCAATACTTTGTCACCAGTGATATAAAAAGACTTCTTTTAAAAAGTTACTGCAGCTGTAGAAGTTGAACAATGGCAGGTCCAGGAGAAGCCTCTTGTAGCAATGGAAATAAAACCAAGAGACAGTGAACAGTTAGAGACGGTCACAAGATGCCAGCAGCTGACAGTGAAATAGAAAGAGGAGCAGAGAGATGAGAGAGACCCTGTATGTAACAGCTGAGGCTTTGTCAGGAGTGGAACAATGTGCTTTGCCTGATCAACCGGCAGTGCTGTGCATCCAAATCAGAAAAGAAAGACCAAACCTCCTCAAACTGTCGGCATTTGTTGTGTCCATTGTGAGCCACTTGTTCTAGGCCCATGAATTCACTTGTTAACTACTTCCTAATGCAACCCCAATACAAGGGGTTTGCCAGTCAGAACTGCAAAATCAAGTCTCTTAGCAATTAGGTTTTGGAGGAAAGGGAAATTCAGAAGGAATTTCTGAATAGCAACTAACTCTTCTCATGTGGATTGTACAAATGTTTTTAAAGAACTATCTAGCTCCATGTAGGAAGGTCTCCAAGATTACTTTACCCCCAAGAATTGCATGGTTCACACCTGACAAAACCCACGGCTTGTTTATGCTTGGGCAGAAAGTAAATTGACACATGTTCGGGATGTCAACCCCCAGAAGCCCCTGCCAGCATGTCCTGAGATCAGGAATAGTGAGAGTCAGACTTTAAAACATGTGGAAATCTACTTTTCTACACCCAGAACAAGTCAGAGTGCCATGTTTGGATATTACAGGGTAGACATGGTAATCCGCGGAATGTTTCAGACCGGGACCATTTTGACCTAGCACTGTATAGATGGTATGTCCTATATTCATATCTTCACATTTTGTAAAAAAAATAACCAAAAGATGGGTTAATTTTTATAGTTGTGGTGTGGTAGAGGCCTACACAACTTGGACCAGGTATTTTGATACCGGCATCAGGGACCATTTCCCACTTCAATGCAACAAATTGCAAATGGAGGCAAACACACACTTCTGCTGATAATTTGAACTGGTCCTATTTCCTTACAAGGAACAGCGAGGGATGCAGCAATTGCTCAGACACATTAATTATACAGACTGTTGGAAAACACAGACATCTGTTGCGCCCTATGGAAACAGGAACATGGTGTTGATGTTGTCACAGAAACAGAGCAGCTTCCCATCAAGGTCATTGCTAGTCAGACACACTGGAGAGAGAGTGTGCAAAGGAGACAAGGCTGCCCAATGGAAAAACAAGTTTCCTTTCTTTAACACAAGAAAACCAGAAGAATGTGTTTTTATCAGTACAAGAACAACTTCAATTTTTTTTCCTGTGGTGAATGCCAAGGGGAAAAAGAGAAAGAGAAGGGAGGAAAGAGAAAGAATGCTACTTCTTTATGCTTTTTGCTGCCATATTTAATAGACCAATTAATTTGAGAAAGAAGGTTTGCTGGAAATGGAAATTCAACATTTCTTAGAGAGTTGATCCCTCTAGTTGAATGTTGAATGTGTTTGTATGTGGGGAGAAATATAAGAATCAACAATGCCTGAATATATATTCAAGAAATATCTGACAAAGTAAGCTGTAGCCCATGGATGTTTATACTACCATGTGTGCTTGCCTTTAAGGTATCATAAAACTCTTGGTTGGTTTTAGTGTAACAGACAATCAGAGCTACTTACTCTAAGTTGATATGAAGGGATATTTTCTCCTTGATCCATCTTTGTCACCTGAGGCTTAGATGAATTCAATGGTCCAGACTGCCTCCTACCAGCTGTGGCTGATGGCCCAGCTATGCCCCTATCTAGACGGGAATAGCCTGGTTTCAGTAATCTACCCTCAGGTAATCCCTTAATTAGATTACTACAATGCACTGCACATGGGGTTGCCCTTTAAGACTGTTCAGAAGTTGCAGCTTCTGCAGAATGCAGCAACCAGATCAAGAACTTGCAGTGCATGTAAGATCATTTCTAGCTGCATGCATTGGCTACTTTTATGCTTCCAGGCCTAATTCAAGGTGCCAGTTTTAATTTATAAAGCCTTCCATGGCTGGGGACCGCAATACCATTGGGCCACCTCTCCCAACTGCAATCTACCTGGATACTGTGGGGCCTTCCTCCAAGTGCCAACCCTGAAAGAGGCTTGAAGGATGGCAACAAGGGGGACGGTTTTCTCTGTGGCGGTCTCCCATCTATGGAATGACCTTCCCACTGGGCCTACCTGGAGCCAACCTTGTCATCTTTTTGGCATCAGGTTAAGATGGCCTTTTATGCTGAAGTTTTAAAAGACTGAGAGCCAGTGTGGTGAGTGTGTCAATGGGACTCAGATGATCTGAGTTCTAGTCCCTGCTCAGCCATGGGGCCAACTAGGTGACTTTGGGCCAGTCACAGACTCTCAGCCCAACGTACCTCACAGGGGGGATAAAACTGAGAGCAGGAGGAGGAGAATGTTGGGATAGTAATCTAATAAATAAGATAAGCTGGGTTATTCATGGGTTTGAGAGGATCACCCATCCCAGGTGTTTCTCTTTTACATGGTCATTCTGGACTGATTGGCAAAGCAATGCAAAGTGGTGTCAAGATGTGGCAATATTTTTAGGATGCCAGTGAAGTCATGTGTAGTCAGGGTGCTGTATCCTGGCATCTTCAGTGCAAAGATAATTCTTGGGATATCTTTTGGGTCCTTTGGAACAGCCATTTGAGACCAACATCTCCCCGGTTCTGCTACACATCGGATATTTTGGAACTGCTACATTTTCACACAATTTAATCTCTGGTCTTGTTACAAAATAGGAAGTTGATTCCTTAGTTGACAAGCAATGCCAGCCTCTCTGTGTAAGCGCAGGCCAGTTTTTGACCCACACAGAACGTCTCTATGTACAATATGCCAATATCTGAGCCAAGCAGAAGAATCTCGCTGTGAAACTATGGCCTGCGTTAGAGCCACACAGAACTTTTCAGCTGGCCGGAACTGGAAGACAGCCAGTTGCCAGCTGCCATTTGCTCTCTCTATTATGTTAATCTGCTTGACGGTTCATCCCTGCGCGGGGTGGGAATAATTTCCCCCTCCGTCCGACCGAACGCGCTGCTCCCGCCTTGCCCTGACGGCGCCCTCCGCGCCGCGCTCCCGCAGGTCAGCGCCGGCCTTCCTCCCCCACAGCCCAGGGCCGGGGCGCCATGTGACCCGAGGCTCCTCGGCGATGGAATCCCTGGCGGGCGGAGGGGGCGGGGAGCGCGCATTGTTGATTTTGGGCCGGGGCGCGCAGCCGCAGTACTGCCGGCCGGCCGAGCCGGTGCGTGCGTGTGTGTGTGTGTGTGTGCGCCTGTGTGTGCGGGCGGACGAGCGCGCGCGCGTGTGGGAGCTGCTCTGGAGAGGCACGAGCGGAGTTTGCAGGATAAACTCTGAGTCAGTCCCAGCTGCTGCCGCCGCCGCCGCGGCTGGCAGAGCTTGCGCGCTCCTGGAGTCGCGGCTGCTGCTGCTCCGCGGGCGGGCGGGCTTTCGCCGCCAGAAGCCCCCAGTGCCTGGCACGACATTCCCCCCTGAGGACGCCTCCCCGCGTCCCGAGCGCGGAGGCTCGCCGCTGAGGTCCCTCCTCCTCCGCCTTCGCAGCAGGTTACGGACCAGCGAGGTGAGTCGTGCGCCCTTCTGGTGGCACCGGGGGGGGGTTCCTTGTGCCCCCACCGCGCCTCTTTTTCTCTCTCTCCACCTCTGAATGCAAACCGGAGGCGGGAGGGCAGGCGGGCTGCGAGTTGCCTCAAGGGGAGCCCATGGGTAGGTGGCGAGAGGGGCAGGCATTATTCTAATGGGCGCTGGACGTAACAATACACTGTGCGGTGCAAACTGAAGTTTTGTGCTATTGCGGATAGGAAGTTTCCTCTTTTTACAGTCTTCTGCTAGAAAAATTCAGGGCGGTGCTCACGCACTAGGGATGCGGGAGGGGGATGCGCCGGATTCTTGTGCAGTTGCAGGCAGTGCTTAGAATAAACCTGGGGAGAGGAAACTTCGTGGCGCTCCGCCGCGAAGCGTGTGAGGGACGCGGCGTGTGAATGAATCTCGCCCGGCTTTCGCCCTTACAGGACCAAGGCGGGAGGGCCTCCTTCCCCCTGAAAGTGTGGGGCAGCTGGAGGGGATTGTCCCAGATCGTGCACTGCTCACTTGAGGCTGGGGAGGTGGAGTTTTTCGGAGGGTGTTCTTTCCCTCTCCTTTTCCTAAGCGAACCCTTCCCCTTTTGTGCTTCATTCATCTCCTGCACCAGGGGCCGGGAGAGGGGACCTGGGCTGCTGCTTTCGGGCCGTCGTGTTGCTGCCTGCAGACGAGTCGGGCTGCAGCACGCTTTTGGCTCTGGGTTCCCCTTCGCTTGACATTGCCGCGTCCAGGGCCCTCGGGGGAGCGGGCGTGTGCGCGAGCTCCCCGGCTCCCCTGCTCGCTCCTCCCCCGCCCACCTTTCCTCGTTCCTCTCGCTGGCTCACCTCTCCCTCAATTCTCTGGAACCGCAGGGATGAGGGAGGCTTTTGTTCTGGGAACATCAAAGCTTTTTCGGAGTGGGGGGAGAAGAGTACACATAATTTTGGAGGGAGAAAGGTGATGGCTGTCAGCACGTCATTGTGTCGCTTTTCTTATTTTCTTTGCGGAAGAAGAAAAAGAATGAAACTTTCTTTTCCCCTCTCCTGGTTGCTGTGCACGTGAATCTGCTAATGAAGCTGCATTTTATGCATAGCTGGAAGCTTATTGATCGAGTGCTCAGCGTTATTACCCAGAGGTCTGGCTCAAGCAGCCTGTTGAGAGCCTATCTATTAATTAAAATACTTTTGGGGGGTGGGGGGAAGTATCTTTACTTAATTCTGTTTAATTTTACTTGTAAATGGACACACCAACTCAAAGTCCACCATTCTTACTCACTCAAGGGAAGACTTGTATGTGTGCAGGATGTGTGTTATGTAATGTGTGCATCAATTTTATGTCTAAAGAAACCACAGCATTGAAATCTTCCATAACTATTAGATTTGGGAAAAGTTAGTCATTGTATCACAGCTACACCTGTAGGAAAGTAGCAAAACTGTAGCCTTTGGAATTCTGTGTCCAAATAGTCAGTAGTCCACTAAACTTTATATGGCCTTGCTTGCATCAGGAAATCTTCCTAAGGCCATTTATTTAGGGAGAAATTTTGGGGTATACTTTAATATATCTTCTGCAGAACTGCTTCACTCCTTTTCAATGTGTTTGCTGCTGCTGCTTAAGTGAAGTGAAAATGAACACTCCATGGTCCTGACCCCTTCCTGAAATATAGGACAGAAGGGTGTCATTCTGCTATCCCAAGGGAATTAAGCCCATTTCCAAACTTTGCTATTTGAATGGCAATAGGATAAAATGTAGGGCTTGCATAAAGGATTTCCCCTGCTTCAAACCACCTGCTAGATAGTTCCCAGGTCCCTTTTTCTTTTCTGTGGTGGGCTGATAGGTTCTTCCTTTTTTCTCCTTTGGAAGAAATCTTGACAATCATGTCCCTAGAGATAATGCATAGGTCTGCTAGAATCTGTCAGGTCCTGTATTCTGCAGCATACCTGCCTTGAATGTAAGAGCAGATGGCCTACATCTGGAGAGCTGTGAGCATGCATGAGCTCATTTCCGATGTTCTCACTGTAGGTGTTGGACTGTGTGCTGGTTATTCTTGTGATGAGAGAGTAGTTATGGAGATTGCTTTATGTAAGAACTATCTGCTATGGAACCCAGAAGTAATTTATCCTGTAATGAGCAGGAAGGAAATTGTGGTGTTGAAATTCTGGAATGCCCTCACTAAGATGTTTCTCTCCCTGTACTTACTAGGTTTTGAAAAGTTCAAGCAAGTTTTCCATGAATAAAAGCCAGCTGCTTTAACAAGCTTTTGCTTTTGAAACAGCAGATTTCTAAAACTGCTATTTTTCTGTCTTTGGTATTGCTTTTTAAAATGTTTTTTATTTGCAGTTATGTAAAAATGAAGAACAAAAAGAGCAATAGAAAAAGGAGAAACAAATATTGTGCCTATCTAAGCATCTAGATGAAATTGATGAGCGCAGGATCTATGGTCAAATGCAGCAACAACATCCAGGCCATTAAATGATAGGTTGTGGCATTTATCTTCCCAAAATTGAAGTATGAATTCCTTTGCAACTGGATGGGCCCACAGAATCCACTTTGCTGTCCATCTCTTGATCTCCATATCACAGAAATATAATTTTAAAATGAATGAATGCGACTATGATGGGGGGATTAGAATAAAATGTATTGAGAGCCTTTGGGCTATGGAGTGGCACACACATATAACAAATCAATAAATATGAGTATTATAAATTGTTCTGTTGAATGTTACTTCGATGGTATGTTGAACAGTTTTAGTTGTAATTACTGTCTCAATTTTCTGACATAATAGCATTATTATAATAATACTAACCTGAATTATACACCATCTACCAAGTTGTTTCTTTAATAATACTTTAATAATAGTTTTCTTGACAATTCTCAGAATGACTGCTGGATCATTTTGTGTTAATTAAATCACATTTAATTCTAAATTACCAGAAGAGAAAAGAAGTCTACAGTTCACTTATAGCTCCATCAAATTACTTTCCAAAATGCACAATATTAGTTAGTTGTGAAAGGCAACTTTTGGGTGTTATTGCTTTCCTTAGACCGTGAAGATCTTGCATCTCTGATACTAGAGAATGATGTACTTTAGCTCTTGTCTTTGAAAGTGCTGAGTTTCCTAAGTGTTTCCTTTAAACTGCTCTTTGTGACATATATCACAGCTGTTGTTCACTGTCCCCACTACACTGTGCTAAATCTGAGTTCCGAGAGCTTCTCTACAGCAGGCATTGATTGTACACCTGTGATTCCTTATTCTTGGAAGTTACTAGGGCTTTTCATGATGTTACCATCCCCCAGGTCCTGTTTCATGTTTCCATGAGTCTTTTTGTGGGTTTTTTTCCTAAGAGTGAGGAAAGTCTGCTATTAAATCTGGAATTGCAACAAACTGGACCAGAACCCAGTAAAAAGCCCCAGATTTTCCATACAACGGCTATACTAACAGCCCCACCTTGTGGTTGGTTAAATGAAATGTACAGAAAGGCAGGAAAAACCCCCTCAGGAAAAAAAGTCTCATGCAGACACAAAAGGACATATTTTTTCCTCCCAAAATGAAAATGGAAGTAAGAGCCTTGGTTATGCCATATTCATAGTGGGTTCTAACCCACTGCTTTACTGAGTCATCTGTTTTCATTGTGGGAGGGAAAAGGTGTCCTTTACATGGGTTTTTTATCTGAAGTTGGTATTTTTCAGCTTTTCTATGCATCCTATTAACCAACCACAAGGTGGCACTATGGAACAGCTGCTGTATAGCAGAAAAAATTGTAGGGGGCATTGCTCCTCTAGGCTTCAATTTAAAATTTAAATATCAGACTTTCCTCTTTCTAAAACAAAATGAAAACAGAAACCTACTTAAAATGCTGGAAAACATGGGAGGGGCTCTGGAGTACAACACTGTAATGAAAAGGCCCAGCAAACTAACACGGGTGAGGGATCACCAGATCGTAGCAAATGTGTTGTACAGAGATGCCCTTATGCAGTAACTTAGATCCCTCATGTAGAGAAGCCCTGAGAGTGGACAGGCTGCCATGGGAGAAGCGGTGGGGAAAGTCCAATGCCATCCAGTGGCATGTGCCTAAAATGCATCCTTCATACAGAATCAAACCTGGGCTGCGGTCCCTATTCCTACATACCTGAAAGTAAGTCCATTTAACTCCATGAGAGCTACTTCTGAGTAGACATGTCTAGGATTGCCCTGTTAGTGACATTTGCTCACCTGTAGGGCATGAGTCTGCAGCTGAATTCTCGCCATTTCTGTTTATTCTGGATGCTCTCCCTGACTGTCCTGCTATGGCTGAGTCAGGCTCAGTCCTGGAGCAAACTGGGCAAATTGATTCAGCAAAGTCGGAAGGCAGGCAGAGGTGAAGTCAGGCATTAGGCAAGCAGTCTAAACCAAGCACAATCCAAAGAATAGGGTCTGATCAGGAGGCAGCAGCTCAAGAGGTCAGATTCGGGAAGTTAGGTTGCAACATACTGGGGCTGAAATAAAGATATTCCACTAACTAGTGGCTCTGTATAAGTGCTTACTTAGTTAAGCCTCTCAGCCAGTGCTCAGGCACATCTGCTAGCTGTTAGTTGCCTACCTTTGTTCTCAAGTAAATCTTTACTGCTCCGGAGCCTGATAGCCTGATTGCTGCAGGGCTTTGGGCAAGCACTTTCTCTCCACTCCTTGTGGGAAAGGCGCCACTGTGCTTTAGGGCTTTCTGTGACTCCATAGGTGAGGTACAGCCTCAGGGGCCCTGTCTGGGGAGTTCTTCAAGGCTCACTATTGTAGGAGGGTATTGATGTAGCTTCTGTACGTTGCAAGAAGTGCCTGGGGTTTCAGTGGAGTCATTGTGTCCTGCAGGTTCTTCAGGCTGTGCAGCATCAGTGCCTTCATCCATGGAGTCATCCTACCCTGGGTCTGGGTCAGGCATGACAGCTTGTCCTTTCTATGCGAGGACCAGAGGGATCCTTGAGGTCTGATTGAGCAGGGCAGAGACATTCTGTTCTGCAATGGTTACAGGCCGC